CAGAGACGCTCCTTCTGAAAGCTTCGACCCTCACCGCAGGGGTACACAGCGGCACGCCAGGGTTCAAGCCCTCCAATCAACGCCCCAGACCCAAAACCAACAGTTCCTGAGCCCGGCCACTCTCATGCAAACCTTAGCCTTAAACCCTGAGCCGAAACCCTAGAGCCAGAATTGCAAAGTTGAACTTCTAAACCGAAGTCCAAAACCCCGACCAGGTTTGAATATGGGCTCGTGCTTCCCCTCCGCTCCTCGAGTGACTGCCGCAACACTGCTGATTGTGCGCAAACGGCGCGACATAGTTTTGGGGCTTGGAACTTGGAAACCATTGCGCCTGTTTACACTTTTTGTGTTTGGATTTGACCCCTTTTTGCGTTTAGATTTGACCCTTTTTTGTGTTCGGATTTGACCCCTTTTTGTGTTTTGATTTGACCCCTTACCCCTACTTTTGCGGGCAAGAAATGCTTCGCTGCTGCATTTGTTATTGCTCAATTGACATCTAAGACGTCGCGGTGAACTGTCCTTGGTACGATGGTGGTGCTGTGCCACTGGGATTTATTGCTGAGGCGAGCAGCGATTGGTGTATCGGGTTTGGGGAAGATTCAACGAGGGCATGAAGTTCAATTTCATGAATCATGAGCAGTTTGTCGCGAATGACGGCAGGTCTACTTTCTTACTTTTCTGATGCCTCGTGTGTGGGCTTGTGTGAGTTTCGATGTCAGAGCTCTATAAAGTAGCCCTTTACCGTTTCCTGCCGAATTTGACGTTACCTGATCACATACCCAATGACCGGATTGTGTTGCTACATGCAAACCCGCAATTGTATGCACATGTATGCACCAAGCTGCACTGCAGTCTGGTTGTAATGTCTATCCCACAAGCGTGGGCAAATGCTGATTGGCAAGGGGAAACTAGTTGGTGTTTATCGCGACTTTGTTTGCCTGAATTACTTCTGCGATCTATGGAGGCTCAAGAATTCGCTCTGCCCCACATATCTTTGAAAACACAAAAGTTCTTACCGTAGTTGTCTAGGTCGAACGGGTACAAAGGGTTTCGTTCTGGTTTTGGCAGTATTGGCGGCCAAAAAGTTCGAGACTTCAGTGGTCCAGAAACCACCGGTATTTGCAGTGTTCTCTGCTTGTAGAATTTGCACAATAACCTCTCTGAAGTGTTCAACTTACATTGACATTGACCCGAGTAGGCCCGCACGAAAGTTATTCATGATCCTTGATTTGTCGCTGATACCTTGCAAGCAACACAAACACAAGCTCCTACGACTTGGAGCTGTTACCCCAGAAACCCCATAAACAAAGACGGTAAAACCAAACCCAGGCCCCACAGTGTTTCTGATGTCAATATGCGCTATCATGATTTTGCAACCATAGTTTTGTTGTGTAGGCTAGAGTTCGGTTTTCGCCTGTGTATCATATAGCTTCGAAGCCCAAATGTATGTAAAGGGTTGTGGCATTCGGTAAATGGACGTGTAAGTTCAGCACCCCTAGCAATGCACCTATAACCCAGCGTGCGAAGTCCCCTGATCCGTGGGGGGATGTAGGGTGGTTGAGAGACTTTTGAATTTCGGGTAGGTTCAGGCAGCTGTCTTGTCAAGAGACGATGGGACGGTCTATTCTCCAATCCTCCCTTCCCTCCCCGTATTTCATCTGTTGTTATTGTTGTTGCAGCCTGTGAATACTTGCTCGTTTGTTGGAGATGCTTCCTTACAATTAGAGTAGTTGGATTTGGAGAGGGCGCCGGAATACAGGCCATGCGCTGATTGTCGGCATTCTTCGTAGATTTACCACAAGTCAAGTTGTACTCAAACATGCATCTTCACGATTCTGACTGTCTTGTGTGGGCTCTGACCGAACATGATGATTTAGGTGACCTTAGACACCTACTACACCTGCTTTGGTGGGCCTGTTGGGCTGAGAAAATGCGCCAGGATGGTGCAAAGGAGCAGTTGCTGGGTTTCAAAAGTTGGGGCCATCCGCAGCGTTGCAACGGACCAGCCAGGAAGAAAGCTTTGGTCTGCCTGGCAGGAAGCTTTGTGGTTCGCTTTCCAGTCTCCGTGTGGAGCGCTTCCCGCCAGGACCTTCAACCGCGTGCTCAGTGCCGTTGGATTGGAGAGCTGGCACAAAGCAGTGCTACTTCTGTCAAGGGCACAGAGTGCCATCGTCGTGGATACGGTTTCCTTCAATGCCTCAGTCCGCGCATGCACGGACCTCTCTGCTTGGCATTTTCCGAGCATTTTGCTGATGTTCATGCGATCCAGGAACCTGGCACCAGATGCTTTCACTTATAATCTAATGCTGCGAAGCTTTGGAGGTCTTCGAAGCAAGTCCTGGGAGTCTGCCATCCGTGTCTTTTTTGAAAGTTTTTGTAGTAGTGCCGTCGAATCCGACATCGTTGGCTTGAACTCTGTGATACATGCTTGTGCAAAAGGGTTAGTTTGGAGCATTGCGCTTTGCCTCCATACAGTTTCATCGGTACGTGGTCTATTCGAGATCGGCGGTCCACAGGGAGCCAATGCTGCGATCAGTGCATGCCGAGACATGGCTTGGACCGTTGCTCTTGTTCTTCTTAGTGGACTGCTTGAGCAGCGAACTGCTTCTGTCGTGAGTTACGGTGCCACCATGGCCGCTCTTGACGAAAGCAATTGGGCAAAAGCCTTGCACCTGGCAGTGCTCGCCGGACCCAGCCGCTACAAAACCGTCATATGCAACTCTGTTATGTCAACGTGTGGCTGGCGTCGTGCGTGGTCTATTCTCAGCGGCATCTCATCACCAAGTATGGTGAGTTTCGGCAGCGCGCTTGGCAGCGGACGCAGAGGAGGATCCTGGCCTCTGACATTGTGGTATTTGGTGTGGATGCTGGCTCGCAGGTTCACACCGAATAGAATAACGTACAATGCTGCAGTCGATGTTTGCAGAATGCATGGCCGTTGGATCCGGTGTCTTGCAATCCTAAACTTGCTGCAATTGCAGTCGAAAGAAAATCGCTTGCACAGCACCGTCATCTATGCCTGCGATGCTTGCCTTAAGGCTGGCAATTGGCAGAGTTCGCAGGTGCTGCTATGTCTCGACCAACAGCGATTGGACGTGGTAGGGAGCTCACTGGCGATTGCCAGCAGCTCAGCATGGCCGACAGCGCTTACGACTTTTGGGAGCCTTCAGTCTCGACACGTGGAAGCTGGGTCTGCAACCTACCACGCTGTCGTGGCAATCTCGCAGGAATGGTCGGAGTGGCAGAGAGCGCAACAGGTTCTCATCGCAATGCAGATGTCGCAGGTGCAGACATCGCTGGCTACTCATGCCACGGCCATGCAAGCCTACAAGAAATCTTCCAAGTGGGATTTTGCAGTGCAGCTGTTTGGCGGTGGCTCGGATGCTCTTCAGGCGGATGCCATACTTCAAAATGCTGTCGTCGATGCCTGGGGACAGCTACACAAGTGGCAAGGCACCATGTTCCTGCTATCATCAATGGCTTTGAGCCTGCAAGTTCCAGACCTTCCGAGCTTCAATGCTTGCCTTGTTTCATGTGAGAAATGCAAGCAGTGGAAGATGGCCTTGAGCTTACTGAACAGGATGCGGGGCTTTCAAGAGTCTCAGGGACCACGCCCTGCGGCAGCGACGGTTGAAGCTGTGCTGGCTGCGTGTGAACGATGCTCCAGATGGCAGACCTCTCTTCTGGTGCTCGAGGACTTGGCCGACGCAGCTGAATTCAGTGCGTGGGACAGGGTACCGCATGCTTGGACATGTGAGGCAGGTGTGGAGGCCTACTCCAGGGCCCTGCGACGACGGAAGATCCCAGGTTTATTGGAGCAGCTGAGCGAACTCGCTCAGATTGGGCTCTCACGCGTTTTTCAGTCAGTTTCAGAGCATGTCCAGGAAGATCTCCTGCAGAGAGGTGTCCCGAAATTGCGAGTGCTTCTGAACGCAGCATGAGCATGAGAGTGAGGGAGCGCGAGCCAAGCGGTCACAGCGGTCTTTGTTTTTGTGAGGCATTGGAACTCCGGAAGATGCCTTGGAGCTTTGCTCGGAAGCAGGCGCCGCGGCCTTCAAGTTTAAAGCACGGAGCAGCACACTGCAGCACAGGATCACGAGGCATGTGAGAGGGCTAGTCTCGCAGAAGACAAAGATGAAGTGATGGAGTAACTTTCTTTGGTGTCAGGTCCAACAATCAGTGTTTTCCCGAAATTTCGGGCAACAGCGTTGGAGTTGCTGTTTGTCAATCTGCTTGTTTTGATGCCCTGTTCTGGCCGGCTTGTTTCACAAATGCTCGTATCTTCAGGAAGCCTGCGCATTGTAGACAACTTCATATTGAGAAAGGCACCCCCCACAGATGAAAGCTCAAAGGAGCTGAAGAGGCTTTAAGGCTCCTGAGGTTCTCCGGGGCTCTAAGCAGGGCTGTGACACTTCTGGCTTCTGGACTCTAAACAAGCTTCTGGAAGCTTTGGAGGCCGCTACAAGGCTCCAAAACAGCTTCCGAAGTTAGGGGTGGCTTCCAAAACACGTCTGGAGCGTTTGGGGGCTTTTAGACGAGCTGATGGCTGTGGGGGCTTCTGTCTGGATCCCGGGGAGGCTGGGCTCACATCTTTGCGGTATGTAAGCATGATTCTGGCCACACTTTTCCCGCTTGGGGTTTCTAATTTCGTTCTGGGAAGTGGATTTTGCAATTATGCGGGGGAATCTAAATATGAGGCTGACACCAGTTCAGCAGGGATGCAAGATAGTAGAATAATCAACCTGTCGCCTGCCTGTCAAATCGTCAAGTGCATGTGGCAACTGGGCTACTTCGATTAGGGAGCTGTGCTTTGTCGATCTTGATTGTGTGCCGCATGTCATCTTGGCAGTTTTGTTTGAGTGGTGAGTGCTCTGCCACGGCGCCCTAGCTCAGTTTTTATCAATTAAATTTCAACGCTTCGATTTGGACACTTACTGATCAAAAGAGGCTCGAATTGGGTTCTATCTTGTCAGACTACCACCGAAATGTAGGGGCGGTGAGGAGACGCAGGTCGCTGGCGATCACCCTCCTTTTGCTGCCCATGCCATGCCCAGCACAGCAAATGAAGTGTATACTTTCACACCCAGGAAATGCATGAGCATGCAGAGGGGGCGAGAAGATACTCAGGCCTGCCGGCAGCATAATCCTGCTTTTGGCAGGCCGTTTGTACTGCGATCTTGACGAGCGCCGCGGGGTCAGCAGCTTTGCAGATCTCTCCGATCTATAGAGACATGCAGTCATTTTGGCGTCATGTTGCTGTAAGAACATGGCTCGAACGCATCACACGAGGTTAGTACCCTGTTGACAACGTTATCGCGAGCTCACTTGGCCTGCCATTCGTGCTTGTCTCAGGCTACCTTGAATCCTTTGTAATTTTGTGGCACGGTCGTCAACTTGGAGCCAAGGTTTGCTTGCTGTGTTGAGGTTGTTCCTGCCTCCCTCAACGATTGCCGACATTCTGGTTCCAGCTTTTCTTGGACTCCCTCCATCTGCCTTGCTTAATAGGAGAATGGGGCAGCACTGTCGTTGTTGTTTTTGGGAGAGTATGGGCCCCGTGTTTTTCCTGACGTTGGCTCTTGTCTGGGACCCTTGGTAGGGTTGGCCTTCCAACCACGAACCTTGCCCCTAAACAGCCTTTTAGCCTTGCCGCCGGTCGCCCGGGTCGCGGGCCACAGGCTGCGGCCCGTGAAAAGCTGGGGGCGGGTTTAGCAAATGAGATCCACGATGAGCCGGAATCGCCAAATAAAGGGGCATGCTTAAGACATATCATGAGGGGCGTGTTTAAGATATGTAATGAACCGCGGTCGCCACATGAGGGGACGTGTTTAGGAAGAAGATATATGATGAACCGGAATCCCAGTATGAGGGGGCGTGTTTGAGATATATGATGATGAGCCCCAATCGCCACATGAAACAGCGTGTTTTAGAAGTATGATGAACCGGAGTCGCCAAATGAGGGGCATGTTTAAGACGTATGACGAACTGGAATCGACAAGTCATTTGGCATGCTTAAGATAGATGCTCAACAACAACAACAGCAACAACAACACAATCTATCTGGAGTGTCAGTTAAGTACCTGTGTGTGTGTGTGTCCACGGAATGCACAGTACTTCCCCAGGCATGCATCAAGACACCATCGACAATCCTTCACACAAAACGAGCTCCCTGTCAGTGTTTTGCGCTGCTTTGTCAGCNNCCCAGCTTGTTTAAGCCGCCGTGCAAGTTCGCTTCAAAATGACATCCTACCAGCACAAACAACCCCCGTATGGATCCTTTCAGAACCCCTGATAGAGACATTGTGGTTGCAAATTTGGAGGGGCTGCGCCCCCCTAACCCCCCCGGCTCTTTTTCAACCCTGCTGTGGCCGCGGGTCTGTGAAAAGTTGGGGGGCGGGTTTAGAAGGTTAGCGAAAGTGAAGAATCGGAATTGGCAAATGAGGGTGCGTGTTCAAGACATTTGATGAGGGGGGGGTGTTTAAGGTATATGATGAACCGGAATCGCCACATGACTAGCGTGTTTAAGATAACCAAAGTGTTTAAGATAAGTTATGATGAACGGGAAGCTCCATAGAAGGGGGCGTGTTGAAGATACATGATAACAACAACGACAACGACAACGACGACAACGCGGACCTCAACGACACCACCACACCACGACCACCACGACCACCACGACCACCACGACCACCACGACCACCACGACCACCACGACCACCACGAGCACCAGCAGCACCACCCAGCACCACCAGCACCACCAGCACCACCAGCACCACCAACAACAACA